AGTTTGCGCTTTTTATCATAATTCCATGAACTTCAACGGGCTCTAACAAACAATGCACTAGGATTAGGGAACAAGAGAGAAAAATTAAAAATCCACCTCTCTTTCAGGCCAGAATTTTGTCACACTATCAGGACGGCCTTTACATTTCTCATACCCTTCCGTATATATATATACATATATATATATATTGGCTTGACATGGAAACTGTTGCACTATCAGGCGCTTTATTTTGAGCATTGCGTTCTATTGTGAGGTCTGCCCTGGTCAGTGTTGCTTGCATTCGCCATTCTGACCGGGTCAAAACATTGGTCCTGCAACTTCATCATCGCTTAAAGACTAAGACCTGGGGTCTATGAAAAAGCAAACTGTACCTGGTAGGCTCATATGGACGCATCTACACTGGGGAAGCAGGGTCAAAAGTAGTTCAAACAGACATTGAAGCCTCTTCCCTTGAATGGCCACAGCTTCAGAAATCTCACCACAATGCACTTCAACGAGGATTTTATGGTTCATGTGTAAGGCAACTGTACAGAGGCAGAAGTAGCTGCATTTTCCACCTTCCATATATTCGTAAGCACAGTGGAAACCCGACAAACCAGATCGATCTACACAATTATATCATGAGTGTTGCAAGTAAGCTAAGCCAACATGCCAACCCCAGTCATTGGTCGCGTATGACACCTAGTGGGACATACCGGCCAAAATACCTAGTGCTTTAGATCAGTTCAATATTTCGCAGTGCAGTGAAACAATTTTTGTCCGAAACGTATTCTGCAACTTACAACAAGTTATGCAACCACGCTGATGACGAAAGGTGGCAGAAAATGTAACACGAGGTAATGAGCAGTCATGTTAATCATCGACTTCCGAATGCCGGCTTGTTGCCGGGGTGCACGTGTTAATGCACAAAAGTAAAAGCTAGAGGATCATGGTGAACCAGTAGTGTAAAATCTACAGCTTGCCCAGCATCATAAAAACATACAAGAATATGGCGCATGGAGATCATAAAAGAATATCCACAATAGAGGAAAAGATCTTCTAAAAATAGAACTGTTCATTGAGCTTATCTGATGCGAAGAAATCCGAAAACAAATCAAGGTGAATCCCACAGCGACAATTCAATTTAAGAGACAGACTGTCATCGAACAACCAACCACGTCGAGGATATTGGCTAAATTCTACAAAGTGGACAAACCACTCAACCAACCTACCGCGGAAAACAGTGAAGAAACGTTTGCGAAGCAAATTTCGTTCTTGATAAAAGGACGAAGTTTCATCTGATTAGCGGGCAATCAACTCACCTAAGCCACAAATGACTGAACTCATTGCAACCAGTCCCCATGGGAATTTGTTCAGAGTCCTAGTTTAATGATTTGAATGTACTCGTAGTCCGTATTTCAAGTTTTCCTGACGACATGCTTTCCTCACATTTTTCTTCGGCCACGCGAATCCTAGACTATCGAGTTCACTTTACAGAGTCAGTTCCACGATATCAGAAGCATGCTCGCTCAATCGTCTGTAAGAAAGCCATTTACTCGGCTTGTTTCATTTGGTCGGGTATTCACTGCAACTTGCCATTTTACCAGAAATTTATTCAAAACTGTTTTGTCAGCCTCATGTCATTGCTTTCTGAAAAGTATTTCGCTAATGAGAACAAAAATCTAGCATCACATTTTTCTCAAGTTTCCCTGAAACTGTTTTAGTTCTCAATAACTCTGTGAATGTAGACATATCATGAGGGTTAAAATCAGTAACACGTCGTTTTGCAATAGACAGGTTTAAACTGCGGAAACCTGGGGTAGAAATCTACGCATCTGGAACCAAACATTGTGAAGTACGTATCCCACCATCATAGTCTTGCCACTTTTACCTTCTAACGTGCAAGAAAATTTGGTCATTAATCCCCTAGGTTTGAAAGTTTAGGCTGTGCGCGTACTTTGTCACCGCTAACATAGAAGCTCATTCCTAATACCAATGAGTAATTTGATTAGATGTTAAATAAGAAATAGCCTAATCGAGGGTAAGGTGAGCTGGACCAGACGGCGTAGATTCCCCCGCTGACAGTAGATATTCAATATCAAAATAATGGCAAATTCCTTTACAACTAACCCGCAAAGGCATAGCCAAAGAGTATCAACGTAAATTGGAGATAATAAAGATGAAGTTAGATGGAGATTCATCGAGGTCATTCTGGACGATCTCTACACTCGCAACGAGATCTGTTCACACTATTATATCATGGCTGCATATTTCTAAGTCGTTTGACTCCGCATCAGATACCTGGCACTTCCTGAATTAACAGTGCTATCTTGCCTTTTAGGCTGAAAAAATCTGGCAGTTTTTCATCGAAATTTAGCCTTGAACGATGGCACGGGAATAGCGCAAATACCAAGCCAAAACAACAAGTTATTTCTTCCTACAACTATTTCTCAAAGTATGGAACACCCATGGGAGGAAATAAATTCTGTGCAAACAACCTCAAAAGCAAGCAAGTGACTTGTGACTTAAAAGTTACTGGGCTCAGAACTACGCAATATTTTTGCATTTTCGTTTTTGAGCGCCAACTTAATTAATTTAAACCAACTGACTAATTTCTCTAACTTCAAAATCTCCGATTAGTGACTGACCAAACCTCACATATCTAACGAGTGTCAGAATAGAAATGCTGATCCTGACTATGCTTTTATATATTTGTTTATATTCATTTATTTATTTAATTATATTTAATATATTTAGCATACTTTTTTGCAAATAGGAAAGCCATTTCTCTATATAAGTTGAACATATGGAAACATATGACTTACAACGTGACAAACAAGCAAATCTGTATGAATGACCCACAACCTAGTTTACCAGTTCATTCAGCTCGTTCGTATGATTTGAGGTTTGAAATTTCGCCTAATTTTTCAAAGTTACAGTAATGAAAATGGGCAGTATGTGTACGTAGATGCAAAGTGTGCACACGTACATACCAACTTTTATGCTTTTCAAAGAATTCCATTTGACGGCAAGTTGGGTACAACTTAATTAAGGATACAGGTATAGCCATTGATTTCTTTTCTGATAGACTTCACCAGAAGAAGATGCAGTAGGTTGAAGGACATTTAGCTCCTATTATATTTCAACATAACCAAAAGTATCAGTCTATACCGAACTGATTGTTAGATGAGAGTTCTGGTTACAAGCAAGAGAGTAGCATAAAACACAAATATCCCCTGAGTGGTGGTGGTGGATTATGTAAAATCCTGTCGAGAATTCGAAACAACAGACGTAAACCTTGGAACAGCAATATAAAATCGGGGCGAGATAGTTCAGTGGTTGGAGCGCAAATTTGCTGACCCGAAGGTCCGTGGCTCAAATACGACATCTACCAACCGAATTCCATGTCGGCAACCTGACACTAACCCAGCCCTCGTGTTTCCTTCGCATGACATGGCAACCAGACACTGGAAGGGTGTTACACCTGAACGATTATTGATTATAATTGCTTATTAAGTCGGAATGCCTTCTGAAGCGCAAGTTCAAATGGATTGCAAATGAATACTGGTGAAAGGAAGAAGGCCTTCGCTGCGGGTTAGTTATTAGGAAATGCCAACTGACTGGTTACAGACCATTGAACAGGGAAGCAAAACTCTAATTTGCATCTTATTTACAAAAGCTGGACACCCATCGTCTCCCGAACGCGTTTTCCTGAACGTTCCTGGAGATTCATTGACTCCAATCATTCCTCGGTCAAATCCAAGCAAATTTTACAAAGTGACTCCACGAATTCTGCAACAGATCTGTCCTTTTCACAAGACGCAAAGCGAAATTCTACGAAAAACACATACTACTCGCGTGCCTCTCCGTTACACTGGTACGCGAAGCTGGGGGATACGCACGGAAATTGGCGTCCTAATCTATTATGTCCTGTCAACGCAGCAGTGCACAAAGTGTTTAATACATATGCCACCTGAGTTCAGTAAGTAGCGCCTTGAAATCCCTTGACTGGGTACGTCGGAGCACCATGACATATACGGTACTTATGGCCCACAATAACCTGATGTTATTGGGTGGGCCGCGTTTTTAGTGGATATGTTGACAGACACACCTGATAGCATTAAAGTTTGACATGTACGATTCAAAATATGGCAGGCTATTTTCGTTCCCATCGGAATTTCGAACCGTCATCGTAATGACACCAGGTGAATGGAATTCAGTGCACTGAATACAGAAATGCAAAGGATTCTGCCATCATCCGGCGATTCTTAATCTCTACACACACACACGTGTGCATCCGCTTCATTTGGAACGGACCTTTATGGAACCTGTTCATCAAAAAACTATTGCATTCTTTCCATGCTAGACAACATCCTTTGTGTACGTCAGAGTGACCAATCATGAACTTCGGTCGGACATTTCAACTAAGCATACCGTACGCGTCCTTGCTGTGTCACCTCACTTTTAGAGAAATCGATTGTACATTTTGTGACGAGGGCTGAACTGGCTGCAAGGTCAAGGGCACCCAACGGGGTTTTCGAACCACAGCATGTTGACCACTGATTTAGTTGGGTCCATATAGCAAAGTGATATTTTATGACAGAGGATCACCATGCACCGTTGAGAAATCTCTCCGCTTTCGTTGTCAATCTTGTTTTTTTTCTGTTCATTGATCCCGTATGAGACCACCGTGTGAGACAACCGCAGAAATTAAGACTCCTGGTCATCTCCGCCATCCACCAAAGTGAAGAGCATTGTGATCTGATGAAACGTCGAAGTTTTTTAGAATTGGCTCTCCTAACTTCTGTATTACCGTGCTACGTATCGTGGCCACTCCTGTACCGAACATTTTGTGAAAAGGTTATGTCTAATTCGCATTTCCAAGGCGTTCTGATGGGTTATTTCAAGATTTCTAAATCGCGCAATCTGAGTCCATGTTGGTTGATAAACATAGCTTAAGTGAAGGCTGAGTGATTGTCTGGAGGTATAAGGCACCTTGGAATGATTGTAGTAATCTAGCATTAAGTTCCTTCCCCATCCACCTTTACTCTTTTCTCCACAATAAGGTTTTCAAATACATCATGTTTGTACGACAGTAAAGCATCGGTGTTGAACATTGATGTCATGCTGTCGATGAAGATGGTGATGACGAAGGCGTACGTCATCGGGTCTATACTACTGAAGAAATCTCTGAAAATTGTAATTGGGTGGTCTCAGTGACCAGTGGTCACAAAATAATTCATGATCGGTCATGTGAGTTCACCCTTCATCATCGATTGATCAGTCACATGACTCAAATTTCAATGCAAGTTCTCCGTAACGTCTCAGTTGATGTGTCTAATCGTTCTTCCACTGTAGACTACCTCGCACGCGAGCGACTAAACACCTACTATCGATTAAAACACATTAATGGTGGCGCTGGTTACAAACTTGTCTGACTGATAGCCCGACAGCTTGACAGAACATACAGATCCATACTTGAACCAGGACGAGCTCTGAAGAGTATCTGTGACAAATATCTTCGAGTGGCCAGTGGAACTTTCCTTTCTTCAGGAACTGTGGGGCAGACACATCTAGCGCAGTCAGATGGCATACTAGATGTTTCACACGCCTGAGTGGCAAAACTGCCCCACAGATGCAGCTCTTGTTTAGTTCACGTGGGTTTGGCACTGCACAAAACGCTGGAAAGTGCCATATGAGTGTCTATTGATGAAACTACCAAACATGAGGGGCTGTTTCTCCACAAAACATGCCAAAATTTTCAGATGTAAATTTTCGGTAAGATTGTAAGTGCTTCACGTGTGGCTGAAATGCTGAAAAACTGAGACGTCACCTACATATCATTTGTAACTTTCGAAGAATGACGTCTGTAGGGTCATCTCGCATGCACACGCCCTCGAATTCAAGGCGAAAGTTTACGGTGTAAACCATGCACTGTTCTTTTAGTTATCTATATGGGGGGATAAATGTGTACAGATATTTCACAAGCTTATGCAAAGAATCATGGAGCTGATTTGTACAGAGTACCGACAGCTGGTCCCAGATTTGTGTAGATGGAACCCAATCCGTTGCAGAGTATGGGAATCGAACTGCCAACTGTCCTGTTATGATTGGACTCGCATTGCCATCTTCGAGTATTGCGCGCGTACTTAAATTTGTGTTGGTCATAAATTAAGACCGAGGAGCTTCTCTGCTTGACCTTCAGGGTCACTTTTATTTTGAATGTTTGTTTCATCATCTGATAGCATCTTTATTGCAGTGGACACTCCGCGCCTCCGTGATTTCAACTCACTTGTTCTAGTCACGCTCAAGGAGCACTCGTTCGTCTTCCTGTTTCAACTATTTGACGCTGCATGTTTCCGTCCTTAGAGGACGGATTTGATGTGTAGTTGTGGGACAAAATATTGGAATCGATGTCTATGAATTTGGCCTCTAGGCACTAAGACATCTCAGACGGCGTCGTTCACACCCGCAGAAATTCAATTCAGGATAAATTCCAAAGGTATCTTGGACGTCAATCTCAAGGATGCGCCTTCCTTACTTACTACAGACAAGAGTCGCTAGATTCGTACAGAGAGTACTGATTACTGCCTTCCTCTAATTATGGTTGACTGCGATGGTGGACAGAATTTAACACCATAATGTTTTTCATGAAGGATGCTACTCACAAGGTTGCTGGAAACTCTTCGACAGCACACGACCGGGTTCGCTCTTCTTGGGGCACATCAGGTAGGCGCAGTCCCCGAGTTTCCGTCAACCTTATGTTTTACATGAACCTGATGAGCCCCAAGAAGGGCGAAACTGGTCGTGGGCTGTCGAAGAGTTTTCAGCAACCTTGTGAGTAGTTTCCTTTATGAAAAATACACTGCGATATCTCGAATGTCGTGCCAACTGAATCATGAGGCGGCCTGTGTGAAGCACATTCAGTTGTAGAATCTAATAAACGAGAGATTCAGTTGGGAATCTAGTGAAAACCTTAATGTTTTCTTTAGTGATGGTAACGTTTGTAACATAGCGTGGCAAATAGTGAACTTTCTACGGCACTGGAAACATGTTTTTAATCTATTTTGTCATATTTGATGGTTGAATGTAACTTGATATTTTAAATAGCAAAATTTTCAGTACTTCAAACAACTCCAACGTCATTATTTTAGGTATTTGTTTTCCTTCATTCACTCCATGAACAAAACCTTGACTGTGACCTTGAGAGAGATTGGCACGTGGGGGGATGCATCAGCGCAGTCTTCCTGACATGGGTGGATCTATTACAGCTATTTTGATCATCATGAAAATTTACGAATTTCATTCTTAGAAAATATCTAACTACTTGTTCAGAGTAACCAGGTTCCGAAATTCAGGAAGCCGTTAATTGCGTTCGAACGAACTTTTATATGTTGCAATGTGGAGCATCATCTATATGTCAGGTTACACTGCAAGGACCTTAAGATGTTAACTTCAATTTAAGAACAGCAAAATCAGTGAGGGCATCATTTTGTGTTCCGTGCAATATATGCTATTCACCGTTGACCATTGGTGTGTCCAATACGGTCGATTACATCGTTCCACGGGGATCTCATCGTGTATTCATTCGTGTAGTCGTATTAGATATTTCTCTGAAAGCCTGTTTGCGATCTTGTTATTCACGACGTATTGTCTCAGCCCGAGTGACCAGGGAAGTACGCTTTGAGTACACCTTGAGCATCAAGACAATAGATAATCGGGATCACAAGCTAAGTTGAGGTGCAGTTACCGCATTTTTACATACACTTCGGATGGTATGCAGTCTGTTACTGTCCACTCACTGGTCGGGGGCGAGGTGGCTCAGTGGTTAGAGCGTGGTTCGAACCGGCCCTCTGCCTCTTGACTTTCCCTACTCAGGCTTGGGCAGCCTGGCGGTATCCCAGCCCTCGTTCCACCTTCTGGTAGGATGGTTGTTGGGCACCTGAAGGGTGTTACAGCTGAACGATTTTACTCACTGCTGGACAGGCTTGACAGGCCTAAAGCCTTCCGATTAGCCTTGTCGAGGCGAACGAGATCTTCCAGCTTAGTCGCAAGGCCGTTTCTGGCTGGCCGCATCTCACCGTTGGGTTTGTTGTCCACAGGGACAATTGTATCCACCATATTGAGACAGTTTGGTTCTGGTTTGATCGCTCGCCCAAGAACACCCTGACATCTGCACGCCCTTCTCACTTTTATGGGCGTATCTTTTCTTCCGTACATGATTGGACAGTGGAGAACAGTCCGTCAACTCTCATTGGATACTAACAAGGCAATGTGTTGATGGAGGCTCAAGGTCACAAAAATTAAACATCTGTGGTGGTAGCCGTGTTCCACAATAGTGTGACATTATCTGGTGACTACTGCCTTCTTCAGATGATGTAAGAGTTTCGGAAACTTAATCTCATGGTTCTTTTTGTGGACAGTCTCATAATAAAGTGATTGGAGGAGGCGCGCCCTTGTGTGCAGTTTGGTCCATCTGAGTTCGTCTCGGTAATCCTCTGACATCAATCGCCTGGAAATATCCGGTTTGGTTCTGATTCACCTGCACAAAAGGAATCAACAACCCAGTATGCAAGCTACCACAGGCAGCGTACGCATTGAAAAGATGGGCACAATAGGGTGGTGACTCAGCTGAGTCTCTTGTTTATGATATTCTACAACTGAATGTGCTGTACACAGGCAACCATGTGAGTAGTTTCCTTCATGAAAATCTACTGCAATATCTCGAATATCTTGCCAACTAAACCATAAGGCGGCCTGTGTGCAACACATTTAGTTGTAGAATACCATAAACGAGAGATTCATCTGAGTCTCTCGTGAAAACCAAATTGATATGCAAATGAGTGTATTTCTCGAATACATGAAGTATTTTGACCCATCATCCACTTTATATTTACATGAAAATGTTCACATATACCCTCACTCAATATCATCACAATAAACGCAACTTTATTCATTGATCCTGTTCATCGATCCGGTTTCAGGGAGTCTTAGCACTTTCTTCAGGGTTCCCAAGAACTCACCAATTCGAGTACTGAAGTCATCCAAAGGGTTGACTGAGTCACTTGAAGTTGCAGATGTGATTGGCTTCAATGGCCAGTTGTAGGCGATGTTTTCTCCTTCATTTTGAAGCGTGAGTGCTGATAAGTGAACCAAACTCGCCCTTGGCAACCAAAGTTGCTACAATTCCAGGTATCCTCTAACCTTTAATCAGTGTAATGGTCACCCGCGGATTCAATATCAGCCTTGCCTAATCTCTCCTGGTCCGTTCCACTCCGGAGTAAAGTATAGTATAGTATAGATTTTGTTGATCATGTAACTGGATTAAACCGATCGCAATGAGACGTATCCTGTAGGATTTGAGTTCCTTCTTAAAAAATCAGTTCATCTATTTTGCTCTGCCTCCCCTAACGTTGTTAAACATATTCCTCACGTTTCAAACTATAGCTCGCGGAAGGCATGTTCTTTCCTCCTTAGTAGCCTGTGTGATGAGTATGAGCAAGCACCGCGTTCTGGATGCTGGGTCACAACAAAAGGATCCATGTAGGCTGTCGTGTTGGACTAACACTTATGGTCTGGCATACAATACAGTGAAAGACTGACCTACAACGAGGGCGAGGAAAAAGATGTAGAAGTCTGATTATTTAGGAGACTGAAGATGCTCGGCAACGGACCCTTTTGGACCACATCTAACGAGTAAACGATGAGGTATGTGGTTACTGAAGCTTAGTTAGCCCTTCTTTCCTGAAGGGAATGCGCATCGCAGCCCCCACAAATATAGAGTTGTTGGTCGACTCGTGGGAACATCTTACCCCTTCTACACTCATGCAACACCGGACAATATAATTTTGATTCTCGTACAGCCTCGCGATATGATAATGTGTGGTAAGATTCATCATCATCATCATCATCATCATCATCATCATCATCATCATCATCATCATCATCATCATCATCATCATCATCGTCACCATCATCATCATCCTCATCATCATCATCATCATCATCGTCATCATCATCGTCACCATCATCATCATCACCATCATCATCATCCTCGTCACCATCATCATCCTCATCATCATCATCGTCATCATCCTCGTCACCATCATCATCCTCATCATCATCATCGTCATCATCCTCGTCACCATCGTCATCATCACCATCATCATCATCATCATCCTCCTCGTCACCATCATCATCACCGTCATCATAATCATAATCATAATCACCATCGACAACATGACATCAATGTCCAACATCGATGCTCCACCGCCGTAAAACCATGACTGTATATGTGCAGGTCATGGTTGTCCGTGTGATGGATTCGTGTCAGGGCGTCCACCTCTAGACAGGAGGACGATTAGGGTCCTCAGCCAAAGCCTTTGGCTCAAAAGCCAAACAGCAAGGCAGCGGTATTCGGCAGAAAATGTAAGTGCATACCACTTCTAACGGAACAAATCGCCACATGTTCCAACCCCTAACCTGAGGGGCCAGGAGACTGTGTTCGTCAGACCTCTAACTATTGACGAACCTGGTATGAGAGACTCTGTAAGTATCGCCGGGACACTACCCTGTATAGCTCAATGGGTCGCTGATTTGCGCAAGCCGTCACACCATGGTAATGTCCAATCTCTCCGTAACGGTGTGCAAAGATTACTCGCCGCTAGGCATAGGACCTCTTTACTGTTCTTCCGACAATAAAATACTTAAAGCCAGCCCTGATGAGCAGTGCGGCCCACAACGACAGGGTAGTAAGGGTAATTAAAGGCCGGCAGTAAATCAAATTGTAGTACAACACAGTGCAACAAAGAACATTTTAATGACCCACAGTAAAATAACATGATAATTAATGTCAGTCAATACTGCAGTATAATAAAGCACCATGCCATACAAAAAGCGCGGTAAACATAACAAAATGTAGCACGCTGCAGTGTTTTGAAGAAAGACACAACATGACAATAAAATACATTACTATAGACAAGCTATAACTTATATACTGTATATCCTGCTATTTTATTCCACTTCATTCTATAGTATACCTACAATATAATACATTGTATTATACTGTAGCATGAGATACTATACTGTACTATACTGTCCCTTACTGCACTATACTACGCTATACTTTACTACACCACACTAAGCTTTGGCATACTATACCTTACCATACTATACTTCATTATACCATATTGTTAAACATAGTACTATACAGATGGTAACGGTGTAATAAACTTACAACCCAAGCCATGGGCTTCGAACAGCGAGCCACCCATCCCTCCGGTGCATCCTGACTACTTCTCCTGCATTCTACCGATATTTCTGAAGCAAAGCTATACGCGAACAGGCAAAACCCTGATGCTTTCACCTTACATCACTAACCTGAGACAAGTTCCAATGATGTGAAGCCATGATGAGTAGCACCCAGGTGGTTCCCCTTTACAATCCGCTGTTAAAGCACAGGATTCCGGCGACGGCAGAATTCACTCGCTTACAAAACTACCAGTCAGAATAACTGACTAGATTAGTCGATGAAATTGTGGAATATCACTCTTAGAGGGGTTTCTCGAGCCTCTAGGACAGAACCCGCTTTTCCATGTAAGGTTCAACTGGCCTTTCAATAACTGTTCTAAATGGTAGCCGGTGGATCATTTAAGCACCTGTTTCTCTCATGGATGCCTAGCACTTACAGACATGTAGTCATTCAAGTCATTCGATGCACCAAGGCTACAATTTATGTCTGTGAATCTAATCGTTAGAAATACCTCGTTAAATTATCGTGTAAAAGAATTTCCTAAATCTCTAGACATCCAAGCTACTATCGAAAAGGTACTAAGTCAATCCAGTAGCTAGGTTGCATATCTTTTCACCGATTTTTTCTTTCACAACCTCACGTGATCCTCACGCAATCAGATGACGATATGCGTAGTATCCCGTAGAGAGCATGGGGATCTTAGCGCACCTATATAATGTTAACAAATGTTATGCCATTATCTAACGAGAATCATGGGGGCTGTCGAATCGCGTATCTCACCTTATGTTAGACAAAGACTCAAGGCAGAAATCTCCTTGCAGATTCATTTTGATAACCCACAGGTAGATTTATAATTTTTGTGGATATTATCGATTATTTCATACTTCAGTTACGGATGATGCCAAAAAAGATGAGTGATGCCGTTGGACGCCGAGTTTACCGTCAAGCGTTGAAAAATTTGCCATCCAGATATTTGAACTTATCTTTAAGGGAGTTACCAGCGTCCGATCTTCTGTACTTGAGAAAGTACATTCGAGAGGTATTCGAGATTGCCGCCCCAGAAAGTATTTGTGAGAACAATTTGAATCATCTAACCGAAGTACGCCGCCAATCACTGGCCGAGTTACCTCAAGTATGACTATGTTTTTGGATATTGGTACCTTCTGGTACATTTTAGACTCCCTCAAATGCGCAAGTCATTTCAAAATCAGATGGTAAGTCAAGAGAACTAGGTAGCTGACTAATAGCAGCTATCTGGCGAACGTTTTTCAGCCATTTGCTAGAAATTGAGTTGTTGAGCAGGAATTGTTGCACAAAAATGTCGATGATTCTGTGAAACGGAGGCTATTCAAGAAGATCTTCTTGGATAAATTCTACAAAATAAGCGGACTTACTCAAAGATGCCGTTGATTTGCTTGATAGAATTCGATTTCGGTGGAATAGACTGCTTTCTATTGCATCTATCTGTAAGGAAAGGCAAAATTCAGACAGAAAGGCGGCTTTTTCTGGTTGCCAGAACAACAGATTTCCCCCTCGGTTTTGTTGACCAAACTGTACCAATCAGCACTAAGGCTAGACCACTGATGTTATTCGCAATTCTGATGAGTCATCATTGTACACTTAAAATGGGCTTGACTTAACTTGGTCAGTATGTTCTCTGAAAGACGTTGCAGTCAAAGTGGTATTTTAAGGCAAGGTAGGGCAATGCGGAACACCGAGATAAATACGGGGGCTCCGATAATTCGGGTTAGTAGTATAAGGTGATTTCGAAGTTTTGAGAAATTTCTTCCCGCAAGTGAAATCACTCCATCCGAAAACCCTTGTTTGGAATCATCAGCTGTGTCACGAATATCTATGGCGAATCGAACGTGATCATTTGAATACTGAACCTCCATCCAAGAGTGGCTGATCAGTAGTTTATCAGTTTGCACTTGGACAAACTATAACACCAATCATCCCTCACGTGGGCAAATGTTAACTGGCCCTTCGAATGAGGGCTTCTCACATGGGAAGCTGATGCATCTTTGAGATGTTCTTAGTCAAATACCAACCGTAAGTTTGGGAATACCAGTATTCATTGGGCTTCGTGAGATGCACAGTGCAGATGGTTTTCAATAGGAAGGAAACACCTGCACGGGATTTCTCGTTTTTTTTTGCCACAGACTGACACAACTTACCAGATGGGGCCTCTATTGAAATTCCCAACGGTTGTCATTTCACATACTGTCTTGATCTGTACTTCTTGTTCGAATTTAGTTGATAACCTTCTGTCGGGGGAGCACCCTTGCACACTGCAAGGGTCACTTATTTTCAGAACCGGCAAATAGTTGAGGCGATCCTATTCAATAAAGAGAGAAATTTCATCGCGGCTGCTTAAAACACTCGGATCCGAGACCAAAGAAGCTTGATATGGGGGATGTAGTATAAGATTCCGAGTCTACACCAGCCTGAAGGAGAACTCCTTAGTCGTGGATGCATTCTGGTATCTTCAACAGTGTTGCTTTGATGAGGCCTCAATGAACAACGCGTCCGGAAGCACCCAGATAGCATACACTGGCAATAACCTGAAGGAATCTGTTGGCTAAATTTGCAGATGTATGCATATTGAAAAAAACTAGGAGCGCTTTATCCATTAGAATTTCCAAGCATCTATAAAAGATTCTAAAACATGCATTTTGATGAATAGTTTATCCTGGTGTATGAAGGAAATGAGAACGATTTTTGCGCTCATTTGTGCTAAATATTCAAAGGTGGAGTTAGAAACAGAGACCATCGGACTTTGTTTACCATCACACTGTCTTTTTTGTTCCTGAAACAAGACAATTCTTGGGGGTCGGAGCTCCAAAAAATTCCTAGTGGAAAACCTCACTACTCAGTTTTGAGTACTACTCAATGTAAGATTCATCATCATCATCGACAGCATGACATCAGTGTTCAACAATGATGCTTCAGTGTCGTACCGTCACGAAGAGGCTGGACCTTACCGTGGTGTGACGGTTTGCGCACCTCAGCGATCCATTGAGCTATACTGGAGACACTCACAGAGTCTCTCACACCAGGTTGATCAATGGTTAGAGGTCTGACGAACACAGTCTCCTGGCCCTCCAGGTTGGGGGTTGGAACATGTGGCGACTTGTTCCGTAGAAATGGTAATGCATTTGCATTTCCCGCCAAACACCGCTGCCTTGCGGTTAGGCTTTTGATCCAAAGGCTTTGGTTGAGGTCCCTAATCGTCCTCCTGTCTAGGTATGGGCGCCCTGGCAGTATCCCAGCCCTCGTACAACCATGACAAACGCAACTAACAATATTCTCAAAATAGATACTTCATTTATTTGACTGTCAAAACAACTTTTTCGACTGAAGTTTTGGTCTGCTTCGCTAACGCAGCCCCAAATTATTCTTGAATGTAATTATCTTCGATTGATTTCACTAGTGCGTCAGAGTTCTTTCTTAATTCTTCGTTCTGGTGTAACTGCCGCCTGCAGGAAAAGAAAAATCCCAATACGAAATACTTGAACGGATTTGCACGTACAAACTTATTGATGGGACCCAACTTACACAATGTCCAGAGTGTCCGATTTGTCTGTGTGATTTCATCGAAATGGAGTTGGTACTTGTCTTGCCTTGCACCCATCTGTTCCACGGAGAATGTGTCGAAGTGTGGCTCAACAGAGTAAGTGGTCGAATCCACATAGATTTTAGCTAGAAGACCGGAAAATAAATTTTGTACCATTTAGTCACAGTGACATGACGGCAAGTTTGTTTTTTTCCGGTGTTTAGGCGATTAATTCACTTTTGCTGGATTTTGTGTTGGAGACGACCGGGTTAGGTAGACGGGAGTGAATAGACTGAACCCAAAGACCCAACGAACAAACAAAGGAAGAGGGGAACAGCCCTGTCACAACGGAAGAGTACAACCATCGGACCAACCAGATGGAAGAGAATGGGATTACGACGCAACTCAAATGCCCAGGTGGCCAACCAAATAACATGAATACCACGTCGAGACCAACCAATCACCCTAGAGTTATTAGAGTTATTAGACACTGTTTAAAAACCACATGTGTTCAAAAAACACATAGAGAACAGGAGGAATTAATCCACTCAATGCCCCACTGACGACGTCACTTCGATTGGCGACGAAACGTCCGCAATCCAAATGGCAAACCCGTTGAACAGATCAGTAACCAAGTGACAGCTCAGAGCTCCTTATATTCTCCAGCATCGCCAATAGACCACTGAAATATTCGTGTGCATAAAACTGGTAACCACATAATCAGGTTATTTATAGTGTTTGTCTGATGAAGCAACGACCACGCTTCTGGCGATAAGAATCGATTAATAATCGAATGCGAAATTAACCTATTTTTAGCTTACCACATATAGCTCATCGTTCCTATAGTGCCACACTGCTGATCCTACTGTAAACAGCGAAGCAGGCTCACTTAATATTTCACGCATGGTAACCCCGACTTCTCTGCATCACATGCTGTGTCACTCCGTCTCCAGTTATGGTGATACTCACATCCTCAGGATAAACCGGAGTTCACGTGAGCCTGAATCGGAACAAGTGTGCCGCTACTTGAGTCAACTGACTAGTGCAAACCGAGGCTCAGTTATCTCCTCTATGTCGCTCGCAAAACAGGTCCAAAGCATCGACCACCGGTTAGACTTGGGAGCATCTCTTAAGGGCATAGAAAAAACGTAATATGATGCCTAGCACTACCATAGCTCACAATGAGCTCATTCTCCGCAGCCTTTGATCCATTTGCATACCCCATCTAAGCGTTATCATCCAACAACCAGCTGTGGAATGCTATAATCAATTAGAATCAGTCTGTTCTTGAAATATGCATTCATTCTTCATGTGGCTGCGCTCAAGTCAATACGACGATTAGATCGGCTATGTTACAAGCATAGGCTTAGGCCTTAGGACCTTCTGAGCCATGTGACTAGTGGCGTGCTTGGATGGAATGGTCCAAGTAGATATTCTAAGGCACCAGATCAGCGAACAACCCGGGTTCACTTACTAGAGATTCATTGGCTCGCTTAGTTTTTATATCTTTGTCGTTCTACCAAGGCCAAGACCTTAAACAGATATTTTCCTGTTCTGAGTGCAAATGCAGTTGGCGTTGATTCAATGTAAGTGGGAGTTGGAATGTAGCCGGTGACTTTTTCATGAAGAAAACTACTCACAAGGTTGCTAGAAACCAAATTGATTTGCAAATGGGTATCTCTCGATAGCCTGTGACTTCTTTTCTCTGCAAACCTGTCAAGAAATCAGATTCTTGTGACCTTTTTCATGATTCTAGATTCTTACCAGTTTTTCTTTTTTTTCTTAATCGAGATTTTGGTTCCCCACTTTTGCATTCATTTAGGGTGGTGCGGATTGTCCACTCTGTCGATGCACCTTCTTCGAAAACAGAAAGCAATCAATCCCTGTCATTGGTGAAGACAGCAACTACATAGGCGGTGTCTACAGACCTGAGGAGGGGTGATAGAACGAATGATTATGGCCCAGGACATTTGATGCAGTTACCTATCGTTTTATGCAAATTTTTTAACTGGGCTTTCCTAATTCGAACGGCACATTCTTTGTAATCTATTTGCGTTTTCCAAAAAGAGAACAATATTTGATGACACAATCAGAACTGCGGCGAAAGTCTGTGTTGTACAATGTTCTCATGATGGTGACTCCAAAATGGTAGTAAAAGCTTATTTGGAATGACCAGTTTCTGGCGCCTTTGTTTTTTTGAGGTAAACATCTGAGGAAGACTTTTCCATGGATCGAAGGCGTAACTTTTAGCTACCTGAATGTGTTATCGCGTGGGGCGTGCAGTTGGCCCCGGTAAGCCTAAGAATCTTCACTCAGTCAGCGAGATCATGATGACTGATGGGTAAAGATGGAGGACGCAGGATAGAATATACAGCTTAGTATTTGTATGGGGGGCCGAGTATGAGCCCGAGAAAATAGGGCCGGAAAGCTACTATGAACAGCGGATTTTAAAACCATCAGCTGGTGGCCTGCGACTGTTCAGTCACATGAAGGCAGCCGACCCGTATGCAAAAAGTAGCTCGGCGGCCCGTACCCCTCAGAGTTTATCTCACCACCAAGCGTCGTAAAGAATGCAAAAGGGTCGGATTGGTCCCTTGTGAAGAAGAATGCTCAAATGGAAGTTTAAATATAATTTTTTACTGTAACCACAGAAAATCTATAGGATTTCGCTCCATCTCTGTCTGTCCAATTTGGAATAGCTCTATGCTGTACAGACAAGGACTTGGGCAGTCTCTTCAACCGCCAACATCACGGTAAATTTTATGGGTGAAACAAATGGGAATTCTCCTATGATTAAAAGCCCGTTAAAATGCATAAAATCTATAATCAATATAAATATAAAAGGGAAAAGAATAAGACGTGCCGCATTTCACTTGCTTGGCTAACTTGAACAAAGCAATTTTATTTAGATCTCTCCTACTAGTCGTGGACTTCATAATCAAAGGCAATCAGATTTTGAATCTCACTGGAAACAGCTGTTCTAAGCCAATAGCTCAAATTTAAGATTAGAAAATTAAATGTGGCGGCATACTTTGCCAGCTCAGGCTTAACTTGTCGAGGGCGAACCAAATGCCGAAAAGTCCTCACAGACGGACAACTGCAAAAACTCCATCTTTCAAAGTGGATGACTTTCCAATTTATGGTGTCTTCTTTTAGTCGCTTAAGCAGTTTTTAAGTAGTATGTCACTTTGATGACCTTGAAATAAGTAAGTACTTACTGGAACAATAGCTGAGTGCTTCCACGGAAACAGTCCAGATATGAATAGGACTCATTCTTTTTAGTCCGCACAGATTCCGCTTTCGTTCTTGCTTTCTGAAACAGACTAAAGTTTCATCACCTCTCATCGTCTCGATGTCCTCCGAGGCCCAATCGATTCTACCATCTGACTTTGATCAGTTTCAAACTGTTCTTGTCACGTTGGCTGCCCACGATAGCGCTGCTGCGTTGTAAGTGATCGACGAATTATAAATCGTGGAGAAAAACGGGTGAAAGCTGTGAATGTCGGTGAAACAAAAAAACTTTTCACACAAACTGAGATGAACAGCAAGTGAAGTTTATTTGCTTTGGGTTAATCTATTAGCAGTAGGATTTTGGAATGAGGATTTAGCAAGCTGAGGTCACCACTGTTTCCGAAAGCAGGGCTCCCACTGTCCGACCTGATTGAAATGATGAACACATCGCTGCCTTAGCACCTTAGCTGCCTTAGCCGCTACCTTAGCTGCCCATACAGACTGACAGAAGGTTCAAACGAAGTTCAAGAGGAAACATCAAATGAACCGAACCCGAAGAAATAGGCCCTAGGCTGGACCCAAACACATGTAGGTTTCCCCACCGACCTAACACTTGTTCAACCACTCTAGCACACTAAAATCCCTCGGCCGATACCCAACAGAGATTTAGCTTGATTTAGCTGATTGGTTCTCCTTCCGCCATAAATCCCGACCAACCTCGGAACCTAGTCACTTGGCCTGACGGAGCTTTTGTGTCAAAAGCGAAACGTTGCCCAGCAATAAATCTACCGATTGTCACCACACTTCTTCGAAAACATCGCTGCCTTCTTCGACAACTATCCACGTCATTCTTGATCACAGGAACCGACCCTTTATGGTGGTAGGCTCTTCACACCGGAAGTGACTCTTGATGGGTGTATGGACTAATTCCGAAAGCTATCACGACGGGATGAAATAACTCTCGTCGTTCGTCGTAATATAATTCACCAGGAACCGAAGACTATATGCTTCATGGAGCGAGATACACTACGTAGAATAAAGAGTTTTAGATTACAGCACTTCCAAATTATTGATTTACATGTTTGCATGAAAACTATATATACAGTCACGTCATCAGCATCATCATCATCATCGACAGCATGATATCAGTGTTCAACACCAATGCTTCACCGCCGTACAAAAGTGATTTATTTGAAAGCCTCATTGTAAAGAAAAGAGGAAAGGTGGGGATGGGGGAGGGACTTAGTGCTAGCTTAACACAATCATTCCGAGGTGCCTACACCTCCAGACATTCACTCAGGCAATCTGGATAGAAAATGACAACAGGAACGCCACTGACATCGGTTGGCAGCCATACCTTGCAGTGTCTCCAACCAGGCACATTGAGGATCACGCGGTCCACATTGCATAATATTATAGAAAATTCTATTATAATGCTGGGTTTATTGAACCCACTCAGCGAACTGAATTATTGAATTTAAGTTGGTTGAATTAATTCTGACTAAAATCCGTTGTCTGTCGGATCCTGGATAGCGGTGATATCCTATCAGATATGGGTCTTACCCCTTTTTACATTAGTTAGTGAAGTACCCAAACGTTCAACGCTATGATAATATTCACTTTTGCCTGAAGCAAAGATAAAAAATAGTAGCGTCGTGATGCTTAGATTATGCAATCTAATATCCTTATATATCTACCCTCGCAACCATTCATCCTTTTTTACATCATATGGACCATATTTGTTTTTCTTAGAGTAGCACTATGCACCTTTTGTTTAATTTTTCCGGGAAATATTCTGAGCTTCTTTGCTCTACTTAGCCTACACTCCCTGGGTACAATGTTCTAGCTGGAAACTACATGACTGAATAGAAAACCTTGTCGGTCTGGAATATGCAGACGACATCGTTCTCATGTTCGAAGAGAAGGAAAAGGCGCAAGTATTCCTGGATGGACTGACCAAAGTCATCCCGTCCTTTGGTATGCACTTTGCACCCACAAAGTGTAAGGTCATGCTTGTGGACGTGCAGTCACTGAACACGCCACTTACGATCCATGGAGCGTTTTACTTATCTTGGAAGTTGTATTAGTTCTGATTGTAGTGTGTCAGATGAGGTGAATGCACGAATCTGCAAGGCTCGGGCCGCGTTTGCTAACTTGAGACACCTATGGCGTCAGAATGGTTTATCCCTGAATCTGAAGGGACGTGTGTATCAAGCTACAGTACGGGCTGTTTTGTTGTATGGCTGTGAGACTTGGCCTATTCGAGCAGCGGAACTGAGACGTCTTCAGGTGTTCGACAATCGTTGTCTCAGAACCATAGCTCGTGTGGGTTGGTGTCGGCGAACCCGTAACGAGGCAGTTATGAAGCACATTTTCGTTTGTGCAGCGGGTACTTCCGCTGAAGAATGTATCCAGCATCAGAAGCTGCGTTGGTTGGGATATGTGTTGCGTATGCCTAACCATCGTTTGCTGAAGAGAGTACTGTTTTCCATGCCCAACTCAGAGTGGCGTAAACAGAGAGGTGGCCAACCCTTGACTTAGCGGAGGAGTATGAAGGAGATCACGAAACGCTTGGGTGCTGTCTGTGCTACTCGCCTTCCAGGATGGGGACCGCGTGATCCTCACTGTGCCTGGTTGGATACACTACAAGAAATGGCTGCCCACCGATGTCAGTGGCGTTCCTGTTGTCAGTTTCTGTCCAGATTGCCTGAGTGAATGTCTGGAGGTGTAGGCACCTCGGAATGATTGTGTTAAGCTAGCACTAGGTCCTTTCCCCGTCCACCTTTCCTCTTTTCTTTACAATGAGGCTTTCAAATAAATCACTTTTGTACGGCAGTGAAGCATTGATGTTGAACACAAAATCGTTCGGCTGATTAGTTAATTCCCGTTTGGGAGAGACAACTTGGATGTGAAGTCCTAAAGCCCTGCTTATGCACGATACTCAGATAACACAAGTTGTCTGGTTGTTCAGGGGTTGTCGCACTAGGGTGTCTACTTTTCGCTCATGACACAAAGGAAAACCATAGGAGATGCATCCAAAATAAGTGAATCTCGTTAAAGGAAACTTCTCACAAGATTGCTGAAAATTGTTCGACAGCCCACGACCGGTTTCAAGTAGGCGCAGTCTTAGTCGTTCCGAGAACGGAATAAGGATTAGATTTATCGTTGAAAATAAGCGGCTCGTTCCATCCTGTATCTACTGAGTTACTACAGAATAAACCACAATAATTGTGGAACTATATTTTCAAAAGACTATGTACAGACGAGTCTTGCTGGCCGCCTCATCACCTCGTAAAACGATTTTTTAATGCGAGGGAGTTTGGTGGTTCACGTACAAAGGTTTGATCTTGCTCCCAGATACGTGGCTAGCCGTTTTTCCTCCGCAACTTGGGCGAGAAGTGCTTTAGTATTGTGAATCAAGTCTAGCGGAGAAAGACGACACATTGCGCAACCTTCATCCTGTCAAAAAGGAAAAAAATGTTAATGACCATCAAAGGAAATTTGCAAACTTATGGTTTCAACCACTTTCTCTGGTGCCAAGACAAATAGATTGTCAATTTCTGGAACAGACCGCGTCTCAATACGGAAAACTGTGAACAAATGAATTTCATTTTCCAATGAATTTCACTTGAAGTAATTTGAGATATGCACAAAAAATTTATCCTCATCCATGTGATTCAAAGTACAAAAGAGCAGTGAAAAAAAACAACCGCTTGTTTGCAAGTGAGTGTACTTCGATAATTTCGTGCAATTTGGATCCAAGTAGAACATAAGCTTGACGGAAACTCGGCGACTGCGCCCACCTGATAAGCCCCAAGAAGGGCGAAACCGGTCGTAGTCTGTCGAAGAAGAACTTTCAGCAAACGTATGTATTACATCTTAGGCAATCACTTGTGATTGCAACACTCTTTGCCAATTTACTTCTAACATCTAACATGAACTGCCGTTCAGTAAGTTAGATTTCGAAATTTAGGGCCGAATGTTGGCAAGTTATTGAATTTCTGGTGGATTCTACTACTAAAATAAAGTGAATAAAAAATAAAACAGAGAAGTCAACTATTACTTGCTGTCTACAAACTAGCTTTTCGTCACATCATCGGGCCCGAAGTTTGGGTCAAAAGTGCAGTTGGTGAAACGGTGGTCGGTTGTGTTGTGGGAACCACCAGAACACAGCACGCCATTGTATGAGACACAACTTGATCGCTCGTCCTGAAGCTTTTACTTAACCCGGACGTGTCCTGCGCGAGCATACACACGTAATCAATATCGTCGCGCCCACGCGCATACAATGTCCATCAAGACAGCTCTGATGACCTGACTTGCGCTCTCATCACACCGAGTAGGCGCCGCTTCCCAAGGACGTCGTAAATGGTTATCAGAGTTAAGCTGGCATCATTGCAAGTTGTGGTGACGGACTTTCGAGTATGACCACGTCAGGTGAAGATTCAATACTCAGCATGTGACAGCAGCTGAAGCTAATGAATCTGTTTGCTCAACAACTGCATAACCACTGAAGCCGCAGCACCAGTTAAGTCATCAAATCACGCACTGCATAAAAGCACTTCGGTGTTCTCCTTCGACCCAAACTCTGATTGCACCTTTAGTGCATGGTATAAGCAGTGTTTTTGTTATATCAGCTGCTGACCCGCTCCAGTGCCTGGTGCCGGGAAAAAAGACTCACAAAAGAGAACACAGCAGGTATATTCTGAACAAGCGAGTGAGTGGGTGTGTGCAAAAGTTACAGTGGCCCCACGCTATTTAGAGGGGACTTTCTGACATTGATCCAGGATGTCTGATAGGCGTTGCTGAACACCCATCAACATCGATCGTGCCTCTATGAAATGCCTGAACGCCGATCACATTCGGTCGTGCCTCTGTGGCGTGCACCAACACTCATGAGCTTTTGCTGAAGTGATTGAATGATTGATTGGCCTGGATGCTTGCCGGCTTTCCTGTTGAGATTTTGGTGGAGCAGTAGGTTCCGAGCTTTCTGAAGTTACTTTCACGAATCTGACCCTCCTGATAGTTTCGGACAGAATTTCTCTGCCCAGGGGATTTCTGGAAGCGCAGGCTGGAAAAGATTGGTTGGGCCTGACGATTGCTAACTTGAAAACTACACTGGTGCTAAAAGGAGACTCAGCTGAATCTTTGGTCTTCATAAGCTTGTTGTTAGTATACTATGTCAAGAAAATATACTTCGGTATCTTGTATAACGTGCCAACTGAGACAACAAGCGACATTTGTTCAGCACATTCTACCAATGATCATAGATTAGCGGTCACTATCAGTCTAATTTGCTGACAAGTCTACTTCACCACTTCCATATTTTTTTTTGTTTGACAGAAAGTCGGGCTAAACCTGTGGACTGTAGAACAGTCTTAGTCACCTTATACGTAGTGCATTATGTTAACCGCCCAGAAATTTCAGAGTACCTCATGAAAGCCTCACAGATAAACACCGCTGCTGTCTATATTTGGACCTAAACATGTGAATCGTCATCCTCGATGGGCTACTACATTATTAGAGTAACATCTAATAACATAGCAAACAAAGACAACCGAATTTGGGTAAGTAGATTCGCTGTCTCGTTTACTGAGTACACGTGTATGTCTTGACGACTGAAAAGGATTCAAACGGTTCATTTGGTGCTGTGGCTAATTCAGTAAAGAATGCCACTGTGCGCTATCAAAGTTGTCAAGTAATTCTATCCTACGTATAAGGTACTTGGCACAAGAAAGCGCTTTCGAGTGAATTACATAAATCTTATGGTAGGCGAAATCGATCTTTTGTCTTCTAACTGTGTCTACACTTTTCGAATCTAATTGTGATTCGTTAACCACTAATAAAAACGGTTCTCAGGCAGTTTCTATGTTGCTACCCTGGGTGCACAAAAGCATTGGAATGCAGTATTGGCGCCCGGTTATGGCAATGCTCGCAGTATCTCCCACCCTAGAGAATCCTTCAACCAAACATGCTCAAGTGCGTGTATTGATTTTGCACTCTCTGTGGATGACAACCCTAACCTTTCACTCATTGACGAGTATTCAGGGTGACCCAAAGTTCTCCATGATAATAAAATCAAATATATTAACGGATATTCCCAAAAACCGGTTCCAGATGGTTTCAGTTTACTTCTTCCCAGTTTGAGAAATTTCGCACTGACCATTGTATTTGCCACAAACGCTTCCCGTCCCAAGTCCCACTCCAAAACACAAATGTCTGTGGCGCTTTCAAGTAGGGGGCTAATGGAAGGGCTGGCGTTTGATAAGGACGTTCTAAACGCAACAGTTCATTTCATCTCCTGTGCTTCTCCAGCTGCATTGAGAAGCCGAAATCTTAAGGCCAAACGGACCCTTTCGGTACATAGCTGCCATGCCAGCCGAAGATTTACTCGAGGGCTGGGATACTGCCAGGTTGCCTAAGCCTAAGTAGGAGGAAGTTGAGAGGCAGAGGTCGGATTCGAACCACGGACCTTCCGGTCAGTTAATTCGCGCTCTAACCGCTTGGACCATCTCGCCCATCATATTATGGAGATATATTACGTTTCATGACCTATAGGTGTGTTTATATCAGGCTTCTCACCTGTTTAAACCTGACCAGAGAGCCCCAAGCGTTACCATATTACTCACATTACCTCGAACACCGCTTACGAAGCTAAGTTGCTTGTATTTTATGGGATTGCTGATGAACAGTGCAAACTATGTAAGGCATCAGAGTGCACTCACTGTACGTCACTGTAACAAATCCATAATAAACGTGTCTGAAGGATGGTGTGAAAACTCACCGATTTGAGCCACGGTCCTGTACACGCCTTGTGGTACACATGGAAGCACGGTAGGGTGATGATGAGATCATTCTCCTGGTAGTCGACCAGACACACTGGACACGTGGGAAGTTTGTCCACCTGGATTTTTTTCACCCGGCTAATCAAGGCGAAAGAGCTCAACTGAACTCCGCGTGAATCTGAAGTGAACAGAAACGAGCCGAAGTAGGTTTGTAATGCACTACTCATAAGTTTGCTGAAAATCCGTCGAAGCCCACTACCGGTTTCGCTCTTCTTGGGGCTCAGCATGTAGGTGCAGTCCCCGAGTTTTCGTCAACTCTATGTTTTACTTGAAACCAAATTGCACGAAATTAGCGAAATACACTCACTTGCAAACTACTTTGGTTTTTCGGGAGACTCACCTGGAACCCAGCTGAATCTCTCGGTTTTGCTGTTTCCACGCAACTGAATGTGCTGCACCAGGCCGCCTCATGTTTCAGGCGGTACGTTATTCGAGATATCGCGATACATGTATATACTTATTACACTACTCACAAGGTTGCTAAAAATTCTTCCAGAAGAGAACAAGGCGGAAACAAAACTTTCAGTTTTCCCATCACAAGTAAGAGCTTCAGTTGAGTTCCAAGTAAGTCTCTCGCAAACCAAATTAGTTTGCGAATGAATGTATTTAGCTAGAAACGGGCCAACTTTTTTTCTCCTAGAAAGTGAAAGTAAATAGATTTCGTGCAACCGTATTCCCAGTATCCGCAGCGAAATTTCTTTAAGATTATGATTGACGTCAGAATTCAATAGATGGGGGTAATTTAAAGATTTGTTGCCTTCAAAGTGGGCAGTTTCCTAAACGTCTATTTCAGTCAGTTCACACTAAAAGGGAAGTACTGAACTGCAGTTCCAGTACCGCTCAAACTCATCATTTGCATTAATCTGTGGTCGTAATAAAATTTTTTACCCAGCCGTTTGACGTATGATGTGATTAGGGTGCCATTAAGCTGGACAGAACTTACCTATCACGTCTAAACAAGCGTACGCTTTCGCGCACTGTGTAGTGTACCTGACGCCAGTCATTCACAGTCAATAAACTAATGTGTGTGTGTACGATACTACTTAAATGTTTCACACGGTACAAACGGGTTTCTTCTAATGGGATTATTCTTTTTGGTTCTGTTCAATCAGAAACTCAAGGATAAGAAGAGGACCACTGAAACAAGATCGATACGAGTGAGAGTGAAATGGACGATAAAGATGTCAGCGTATAAGTTAGATTAACAGAAAATCGCATGGGATTCGAGAAACGAACTCCTAACTTAAAACGTTATTCCACACGACTGAGGTGCGTACAAGCTCAGAGGCACCAACTAGACATCCATGTATGCCCAACCTTCGAATGACACATATTGTGTCAGCAAAGTACAACTATTACTGCACCAGCATAAACGCAAATAAGCACTCAAAAAACAAGTCTAGTTGTATTTTCAGTTATTCAAATTCTATCCAGGTCCCACGAGACAATATACGTATATTGGAAGATCCAGAAAAGCCAAGGATCACCTTGAATCTGACTTTGATTGGATTGCATAAGTTGATTTTATCGACTTTCCATTGACCATTCACATTGGTAATAATCAGCGTGCGACGATTCGAGTAAATTTATTGATCGCGCTAGGTGCCCAAATGGAACGATTTACAAAGGCAGGTATCTTTCTTACCAGTACTCACAACCGCAGCATCATGGTATACATTAAAACCTTCCACTAACCAGTATTCGAATTAACCACTTGCTGAAAAACAGTTTGGTAACTGCGCAGTCTAAAATGTGGGAAAGTAGCTTCTTTCAACCCGAACTGAGCACTCGGGAAAACCAGTACAGCAAAATTTGTAGTTTAGCGTCCCTAGCTTTGACTCCTCCAAGTTCGTGTAGAACGTCTTCGGTTTGATTGTTGTGCAGATCCGTCTGAGGTGACAGTGGCCACAAAATCGATGACCTCTTGCTACCAGTTTCAACAAGAAACGAATACCTAAATGGTCTAATGATGCCTCGTATGCGCGCTTCATCTTGGCTATATACTCACGAAATCCGTATGACACCACAAACTGTTTCGTAAAAAGGTTTTTGGTTGGCTGTAGCTTAACAGGCAAAACTCTCATTCAGACAACTTTTTCCTCACTTTAGAATACGGTCTTGACGTTCAGTCCTCAAATCTGTAGCAAACAGAAAAACGAATTTAATGTAGAGATCCTTTACAGTTTCCACTCTCCATCAGTCATATTTAGACTTGATACTTTACTTCTAAGTTCGCAGAAAACTGTTTGACAGCAACCATATATGAATAGGGTTTTCCATCTAGATTATTTAGTGCAATATTTCAAATATCGCGCCAAGCGAGACATGCGGGTGTCTTGTGCAGCCCATTCAGGCATAGGAGACGATCATAAGCGAGAGATTCAGTTAGATTCCTTTAAGTTTGGGCGAGATGGTCAAGTGGTTAGAAAGCGAATTTACTGACCGAGAGGTCTATGTTATAAACGCGATCTCTGCATCTCGACTTCCTCTGTCTGGGCATGGGCAACATGGCAGTAGCCCAGTCTTCGCGGTTCCTTAGAGTGCCTTGGTAACGAAAATATGCTACAGCTGAACGATTCAGTTAAACCTCTCCCATCTGAGACTATACCTGATTAAGGAATCCTGACTGACGGGTCAGTCGATCGTCACAACCAGGACAGTTACTGGGTCGTCGTTCGACTGTCGGGCACACCAATCACATCGCTCAAGCTTGAACACGTTCGTCCGTTCGGATGTGAAAAATTAGTTACGTCCAACGTGCGTGAGTGGAATAGCGGTGACACGCTTGCCTCGCACGTCAGATGTCCGGCGTTCAAATTCCGGCACGACCACTGGGTAGGCACTGCCGAGGAGCTCTAATAAGAGTGAAACTCGTCTCCACTGCTTCCCTTTGATGTGCACTCACCAGAATAATTACTCCAGAACGAGAGTGGTGTGAATATGAACAAACAAAATTCATTAACAAGTTAAAACACTTTGATAAGACGAATCTTGTTGACAATCAATGAGAATTAGCCACCGAAAGCATGACTGAAGTATTTAGCTGGAACTTCGATGCTATTTTGACTACTTCTGGCTTTCCTTCACTGTACTACTGATGGGGTAGATTGGGCCCACCTAAATAAACAGCCTCTCGGATTGTGTAAAAAGACGGACCAATCACACAACTTATGCCGTTGTGTCAGCTTACCAACGATCAGCTAACTCAATTTCATAGGATAATTCGGTGCTTCCACCGGACGCATTTAATACCTTCTAAAGAATAACTGGTTGAAAACAGGTGGCCACAATTTGAACCCACCGTTTTTCAAGAAATACACTCATTTGCAAATCAATTTGGTTCTCACGAGGGACTCAACTGAATCTCTCGTTTATGATGTTCTCAGGCAACTGAATGTGCTGCACACAGGTAGCTTCATGTTTCACATGGTACGATATTCGAGATATCATAGTATATTTTCATGAAGGAAGCTACTAATAAGGTTGCTGAAAACTCTTCGACAGTCCACGACCGGTTTCACCCTTCTTGGAGCTCATCAGGTAGGCGCAGTCCCATCAACCTTATGTTCTACTTGAACCCATTGTTTTTGAGAAAAAAACTCATTTGAAGATCAATTTAGCTTTCACGAGAGACTCAACTGAATCTCTCGTTTATGATATTCTACAACTGAATGTTCTGCACACCGTTTTTCAATTAAAGTTTGGGCAATTTGACCTCTCATTAGGGGAACAAAGGACGTCATTTTGTCTGGTCGATATTTTTGGGACACGGCCACGTTACCGTGCAAGGACGGATTTTGTTCATCCATTTTCAATGGTATTTCCAAGTTGGGCTGTATTGTCAGGATACTAGACTTAGTTAGAACTGACAGGACAATCAATCCTGCTTATTAGCGAAACAAGAGGGCCATCCCATAGAGTAGACGCTTGCCCTTACAATGTAAGTTAGTCATATCGAAAAATCCTCACACACACAGCGTCTCATACTGAAACCAAATTCATGAAGATCAACATGAACAGACCTAGTGGAAAACTACGTAAAATAGAGGACTTTGCAATGCCACTTCGGAAATTGAGCGTCATGTGAAATCAACTTTTATACAGTGTGGAGGTCACTCATCAGATCACGCGTCACAAACAGTCAAACCACGTGACAATTCCTGTCCCACTTGCAACCTTGGCCGACAACTTGTACAGTAAAACTTCTCAACCATTTTCGTTTACGTGGCTACCACTTGCGTCACCGCCAGGATTATGAACTCATTCAACACATCAGGTCAAGTTGGGCACTCAGTATTCGCACAATGGGATCGAAATTGTGAAAGTCATGACGCGTCTGTAATGGAGTAAACCAATCGGGCAAGTGATTTGAGAGTGCCAGTCCAAACTTTTAGGCCCCATTTAGGCATTCCAGGGTCTCAGAGATGCTGGGACACTATCCCACGGGACTTTTCAGCCAGAGGCACGGCTGCTTCAGTGAACAATGAAATTTGGTGAACTGCAAAAATATGAACGCAGATTAGGACTGTTTTTGATTTGATCACATACGCAACAAAATGCAACATTTTGGCATAGAAAGTTCCACTCCACTTGTGAAGGTTTTTCGGCTGAGAGCATTGTGCAGATAATGGGCATTGTCAAGTTGTATGATCGAGTTGTATGATCAAGTTGTGTGTTCTTGCCAGTATCAAACACGAAGGGACAGCTCTCTCTTCACAATGCACACATAAATAGGCATACAGCTAAGCTAAACACACACACTCGCGCGCGCAGGGAGCAGCAAGTCGACCACTCTCCACGAGTCCACGGAAAATTATAGAACACGTGAAGCAGCCATACTGCGGAGAAAACACATTCCCGCCGTTCGTACATTCACCAAGAAACCCTCACAGACGATAATTTCCTCTTTTGACATGCTTCCGTTTTTCACTGTATTTATTTTTATACGTGTGGCATCTCACCATTGTCAACTAGTGCATCAATAGTGCACTGACAACAGAAGTCCGAGTGTTCTAACCTCTTTTGCTATGTGGTATACTTGCCTCAAAACTTTAACCACAGAGGGTGTGCGGCTTGATTTGAGCAGAAATTACAAACGTATGCTACGTTATCTTTGGCCAATATCATCCATCACCGCAATGATGGTTGGCTTAAGATGGTTTGGACTCTTCATATCGCAAACCTTCTCGAGGTTTAGGGTTGCTCAGTCATCCCTTTGATCCACGGCCCATAGGGGACATAATGCCTGTGAGAAAAGACAGCCAAATGAATCTCAGTGAATCGAACTGACATCTGGCGCGACGAATTCCCTACTGAATACTCAAAAATAGTTTGGCTCATTTCACTGTCCTCTAAGTAAGTATCAACTCTAGTTGAAATATTCTGATGAACAGGACATGAAAGCTTGTACAGCGTGGATTTCATCATCTGGTTTTGACCGCAAAATATGGGAAGAAAATACTCGTGTAGTGATGGTTTTCACCCACCTGTGAGTTCATTCCGAACTTTGTATCCAGTTCCTGTCCCATTACCATGTTCCTAAAATCACAGTGTGGAGACTGCTGACCCGGAAATCCATAAAAACCTACCACCAAGCCTGTGGTATCCCCATGTGTTATGCTCGAAGATAGGTCAGAGATAGCTGGTGGTCCATTCAGAAGCAAGACACTCGACGTTTGCCTAATGTGTACCGCGCGAAGAAACGCATAATTCACCAGAGCACGTATGGTCGCTCGCTGTCTTGCGCTCAGTCCACCGTGTGCCGTATAGATTAGGCAATTGGGTTCGAGAAACTCGATGGGAATACATGACTGAACATGGTGAAAAACACGGTGCTTAATTTTCTTCGCGTGCTTCCGAGATAAGGAACCAACCTATTTAGGGACGGTTACCGTGTCACAGTACCATCTTACCTGCATTTCATAATGTCTGATAAGTTCCTCTGTCAGTTCGTTGATGGCGGCAGTGACTGGATGGCAAAGCTGAGAATGCGCTCTACCCATTACTCCAATGAGCAGGCAAAATGACCTGCGATTCCGTTTTATATACTCAGTGATGGTACTAACCACAAAGTGAGCGAACGGATCACCTGATTTCGCAAGCTATGACATACTGAATTGAGAAGCGTCATGGAAGTGGTATGTGGATCAATCTTTCCAGACAAGATTTTATTGTGACACACGTCGGTATGCTAAACTCAAACGTGTGGCGCTACCGGTGTAACGCTGATACTACTGATGGGGAGGCGTGCGACTACTATGTTTTGCTCTTGCAAATTTGCTTTGCATCTCTTGAAAAGGGATATCTGTTGCGGAATTTGTGGAGTCACTTTGTGTAGCATTTGCTTGGATCTGAGCAATGAATGATTAGAGTTAATGAATATTCAGGAAAACCAAGAAAACGGCGTTCAGGAGAAGATGGATGTCCAGGTTTTTGAATAATATGCAGATGAGAGTTTTGCTTCCCTGCCCAATAGTCCGTAACTGGTCATTTGGCATTTTCTAACAAATAACTCCGCAACGAAGGTCTTCCTTTCACAGGGATACATCAGAGAAAAGTCAATTTTCGGTTAATTGATTTCTGCAAAACTTAGAAAGACTTGCTTGGGCCAGTTCATCCGGACTTTGACTTACCTCTGTCAGACTGTTAAGGTTTATGTGTGTATGAGACTGTGAGATGGATCAGCTGTAGTGTTTGCGCCCTATAAAAGTGATTGCGGTGAGGTGTAATACGTAGTTTAGATCTTATATCAATCGTTCACCACTGTAAACGCCCATAGGTATGAGCTGATTTCACTTCAGATTAATGTGAGGTTGGCCCAAACCCAAAAGTTATCAAATTCTAATCTCCATCGTTGTGAGGCCATTCCTCTTCGATCCTATCCTGAGACATGACTTCAGTAGACCGCGCTTACAGTCGACTTGGAGACAGCCTGGAACGAGTTAACCGGATCATGTCCGAAAACACCATGGTAGGAAGGACCAAGCGTGTCATTTGTCAGCTGCAAGAACGCAGTCGTTTGGCCTAGTCACGCAATCTGGCGCAGCAAATAATTCAGAGAATCGACCAGCGTGGTTCTGTATATCGTTACTGCTTGTTCTTAATTAGATGTTTCATAAAAGGAAAGACGGGTTACGGGACTACTGATTTAGCTCCGGAATGAGAGCCATCAAGTGTCATTGTCTTGCAAGCCATTTGGCTTTAACCGTGGATTTCCAGGCTCGAATTCGAGTTTTTACAACTGGAATTTGTCACTAAAAAACTATTGTCATAGCTAGGGAAATGAAGGATGGGGATGCGAGAAGAACCATCATGGACGACCAAGTCATCGACGTACCTAACTCAGAACACAAGGTTTTAGCGGTTGCATTGACTTCCTAAAATTAGGCACACTTGAATATTCGCCTGGTGCTCTCATAGAAATCGGGACTAGAATACCTTGGGTGCACTCGACGAAAACTGATTATACTTATTAGAGAAATACACTCATTTGGTTTTGCTGGAACCAGCTGAATCTCTCGTTTGTGATTCTCCAGGCAACTTATTAGAGAAATACACTCATTTGGTTTTGCTGGAACCAGCTGAATCTCTCGTTTGTGATGTCTCCAGGCAAATGAATGTGTTGCACCAGGCCGCCTCATGGTTCAGTTGCTACGATAAGCGAGAATCGCGATACATGTTTATACGTAATTCACTGCTCATAAGGTTGCTGAATCGTTCAAGAAGAGGACAACATGGCAGAAATAACCTTTCAGTTCTCCCTTTGAGATGGTATCTTTTCAAGCGATCTCATAGTCAGTTGGGATTGGGCGGAAGAACCACCGTGGGCAGAAAGATCGCTTAGGTGGCTTGCGGTAGACTGCAGCCCTCGCTTTCTTGTAAATAGCCACATTTTGGCGCAACCCGACTACTTACGATAATCTTAGGTCCAAGAGGAAGGACGTCAGAAATGCAGCACCGCATGGTTTACAGCTAAGACACACTCGAAAACGGAAACGACTAAACTGACTCCAATTTAACCCGAAGAAGAAGAGAAAATATGATCTGGTTCAAGCAGTCCGAAAACAGTTTCAAATCGAAAGGGGAGGTAATACGGCTGCGCATCAACCTACTGCGCAGCGGAACAATCATGTGAAACAGAGCCGTGCGATTATGCCTCCACGTCTGCATCACGTCCGATTTCATCATGTGCCGGAGAAAGGTCAAATAGGGACAGAAATTTCACACCCACACCGTTGCCAAGGCACCCCGTACACAAGCACACAGACGGCCATCTACGATCAACCGAGACAAAGGAACAAGCGCCCGAGAACCGGTGTAGGTGTGTGGGAGGCACTCTGGTTGGTTGACAGCGGATCGACCATCAAATACGGTGACAAGTGAATCTTATATATATAGAAGTTTTTAAGTGCGTTAATACACAGTTCCTTCAGGTCGTCTTCTTGTCTTGTGACAATAACAACAGTAGCGTCAGGGGCAGGTGAAGAGATACAACAGTCCCATTCATACTTTCTTCTGCTATGAAATGTATATATTTGTCATCTTGTGTACCCAGCTTCCGCTCGAGATTTTCGGATAAAATGTCTTGACGTGCTATTTGCTATGACTTGCTCCACCACGTTACCGAGACTGACCGACAACCAAACATGCCAGGTACAATCGGATTATGTAACACAAACAGTCGTCGATCCTCCGGGAAATTTCGAGGAGTAGAGGAAATCCACTGGGGGTGTGAAATTTAGAAAGGCGAGTGTTATCACCTTGACCCTTGTAGGTGACCACTTTGATGTTGTATGCACATTTATCGGACTCGATCTTGTTGCCATTTAACTCAGCACTAAGACCGGTTGCAGATAAATTCTCCCCCGTGACTGATAGACAGCATGTCAGGAAAGCTCCCTGGACAATTATCCCGGGACCATTCATCCACGATGGTAGCCAAACAACCGCCCTGATCAAAATAAAACAAAAAACCATCGAGACTCCGGTGGCGACCTGCGCTACGACTCGACAGTTCTGGGTGCAAACAACTTTTTGGCTTTCAGTGTGACTGTAATTCCGTTGTCTGCAAATCAGTTTTTTAGGCTACGAAGCGCACTAATGCATAATTCGCTTGTGCTGATCGATTACTGTTCACTCAACTTATTCGATCAACAATCTACCAGTGCAAGGGTAGATGCCCCTCGCCTCGAAGCCGTTTATTCGCAAACACAAACTAAACAGTTACAAACTATTGGACAAAAAAGTAAACATCTCATATGCACCTTGTTTTTTTTTAAAATGAACATCCTTACTCGTCTTCTTGGACCTTCTTGTATACTCGTTGTCTATCACGCAATTGTAAACGAACGCTGCAAAGCAGTTCCTTAATAAACCCCACATCCAGTCGGACGCGAGGCGGAGTTCCGAGAAAATCACATACGACTCGCATGTCTCATTAGCAGTAGCCGGCGTTACACCGGTAGGACGAACAACAAGCAAGAAGTTGTTGGTCGACTTTAGTCGGTTTCTGGAGGCAGTCTGTCGTTGATGCCAAAAAACATACGTAGGCTGTGTTTCCATCCCAAACGCACAAGGATCGAGCGTCAAACTTTATTTCCTAATCATAAAACTGGTCCCCATATCCATCTTAAAGTCGACGGCGGTAAGCTGATAATCTCAGCGGAACACTGGTGAAAAAGGAAAGCCCCTCGGTGCGATGTTATGCATTGGCAAACACAAACTAAGCAGTTACAAGCCATCAGAGACGAAAGTAAGGGTCTCATACGCACATCATTTTTAAAAAGTGAGCATTCTCACGCGTCCTCCTGAACTTTCTTGTACATTTATTGACTACTACGAACATTTCAGAGCGTTTCCACAATTGCTGTAATAAACTTCACTTCCCGTCATATGATGCAGTGGAGCTTGGACACCAGACCATAGGCTACTTCCATGATTCATCAGTAGTATATACCGTCACGCCAATGGAAGAGATCATAAAATTGCACCGTCTATGTATTGCTAACGGTACTCCAATGCTTAAGGCAAATTGAAGAACTTCACCCTCTCTGAAATGTGTGGATCAGACACGCTTCCCTGCTTGGTATGTTAGAGACATTTCTTCCCTACATCAAGTTCCCCTTTATTTTCTCAAGGAAATGGAACTACTCACTGTTCACTAGTATCACATGTTCGCAGAGCCTAAGAACGACTGCCCGATTTCCAAAACTTAGTAACGGTTTCCCTTTTTTGGATTTGATACTAACTTTCTAGGTAACTTGATATCGTTGAGGAAAATGCAAAAATGCATTCTTTACTTCTGTGTTCAAAATCCATTTCAGTATCTTACATTGTCTGTACACAAAAGTTGCACCTGTCACTTGGCTGTATAGTTTGTTCCCCCAGTAGGCTCGCACTACGCAGTTATCTTGGTTTCGACAGACTTACACACCAACAGCGCTTCGTGGTGCAGGAGACAGGTCTTGGATGGCCGTGGATGTTGCTTGTCGCCTCAGTGTTCAACCTGAACACTGAATGGTTCACCGGTGTACTTGAATTTAATTCTAGCGTTGATTAGGTGAATTTTGATGGAACTATGCAATTATCTATGGTATGCTGGTCTTTGTGCTGCCACAAGGAACCACCGTAATCAAGCTCTGTCCGAAGTATTGCGGTTCGGGTTGGAGTAGACACAACACCTCTTTTGGAAAGGAGCCTGATCCGCGATAGTTTGTTTATAATTTGGCATAGGTCACTATTAGCCTAAAATTATAGAAATGCTTAAAAAAAGGGTTGCTCACGACGTGAGTCGTTGAATTCCAACATCTTATTCCACTACGATGAGTTTTTTTACTTTGAAGAACATCAAATGGCGCTCAGTCTTTTAAACACTATCAGACATTGGTGGTTGATCTGAAACAAATAATCGGGCCGAAACAAGGAAACTACCAAAAACTAGAAGCCTTCGTCATAACCAAGATTCATAACCAGATTCAAGGAAGGAAAACCACAACGAAACACAAACCGGGAGCGGACCACCTGCAAACAGACCTGGAGCACCCCAAGGCAGCCATCCAACAAACCAAAAGAATGAGAGGCATACAGACCACAACGCAGTAAAAATCACGGTAGGTCCTATAATTATGCCTACCAACTAGCCAATCACGACAGGATATTATATACTCTTCAAAAACTACATAAATGCAGCTGGGCACGAAGGAAGCACGCACTCAACTGCCCACTGACGATGTCTTCTCGACTGGGGACGAAACATTTGCAAGTCAACTGCCAAGCTCGGCGAACAGATTAACTGCCATCTCACCAACCACCAGTAAACACACCCGAACTACCTATATTTCGACAAACTGACACTACCAGACATTGGTAAACACATTCTCGCGCGGAACATTTGCGGTGCGCCTTTAAAGGTTCTATCAATAGCCACCGAAATGGAGTAGCAATATGTTCCCCGCTCGGTCCACTTTAGCCAGTATGGCTTATCAGTAAAGTCGAACATGACGTTTTGAAACCAGTAATTGAATAGTTGCCATTTCATCGAGGTTATATCGACGATGTTTCCATTACCCATGATAGCCACATAATGGCCAAGGTAATCTTGAATGCACTTAGTTCCTCGTGCTAGGTACTCTGCTTCGCTGCGAAGAAACAAGTCAGCAACACCTCTTAGTTTCTTGATAATACACTAGCTCGGAGATTATTCGTAAATTTTCAGATATGTGTACACAGGAAATCAATGTGGTCCGGCAAGTACACGCATTTCCGCAGCTTTTCGGGCGTGAAGTGCAAAAACTCTTGTCAAGTTTCTGGCAGATATAGTTCGTAAAAACTGCACAGCCATAAATAACGAACTGTTGAAAAACACTATGTGAAACGGGCATTCGGAAACATTTGAGATAAAATACGAAGGTTGTAAAACTGATTGAAGACGAGACTGTAGAAGCCTGATTATGAGCAGTGGGGCATGGAATAGAATCATTCTGCAAACAGTCACATTTAGTAAGGCCTCAACGGATAAAGTGTGGTACGTGGGAATGCACAGATGTTGTCCAAAGACTCCATAATACGGACTTCGTTGTCATTGAGTTGGAAGCACTCGAGAAGAAGTGATTGGTTGGCCAAGAGGAACGCTGAACGGTCTTCAAAACCCCGGTGTTCAAATAGCTCCTGACAAGGACCTTGTTCGGCCGAAACAGGCAGATGACATTGTTTTCGTCTTCGAAGAGAAGTCGGGGTTTCTGGATGAACAGACCAAAGTCATCCCGTCCTTTGGTATGCAGGTTGCATCCACAAAATGTGAGGTGATGCTCCTAGACATCCAGCCATTGAACACACAAGTTGTAATAGTTCTAACCATAGTGTGACAGATGAGGTGAATGCACGAATTTGCAAGGCTCGGGTCGCGTTTGTTAATTTGAGACACCTATGGCGTCAAAGCGGTATATCCCTGAAGCTCAAGGGACATGTCTGTCAGGCTACAGTGCGGGCTGTTCTGTTGTATGGCTATGAGACTTGGCCAGTTCGAGGAGCGGTACTGAGAAGTCTTCAGATGTTCGACAACCTCTGTCTCAGAACCACACCTCGTGTAGGTTGGTGTCAAAGAATCCATAACAAGACAGTTAGAAAGCGAGCTTTCGGTTGTGTAACGTGGACTTCCAGCATCGGAAGCTGCGTTGGTTGCGTTGTGCTGCGTACGCTGAACCATCGCTTGCTGAAGAGTGCTGTTTTCCATGTCCGATTCAGAATGGCGCAAGCATAGAGGTAGCCAACCCTTGATCTGACAGAGGGGTATGAAAGAGATAACGAAACTTTCGGGTGCTGTGTTGATTCTTCTCTTCTATCTTTGTTTTGTACAATGGTATTCTCCGTTTTTGTCATTTTGGTTTTGCACCCATACCAACTTTCTTGTTTTTGACCTGAACGTAAATCTTTCTTGGACCTTGTCATCGCACGTGTTTTTCAAGCCAACACGTGGTTTACCTACCTTGTAAACATGTTATCTTGAACGCTTTGGCTTTTCGAGTATTGCGCGTAATCAACGTGGTACTTCCAGCATCGGAAGCTGCGTTGGTTGCGTTGTGCTGCGTACGCTGAACCATCGCTTGCTGAAGAGTGCTGTTTTCCATGTCCGATTCAGAATGGCGCAAGCATAGAGGTAGCCAACCCTTGATCTGACAGAGGGGTATGAAAGAGATAACGAAACTTTCGGGTGCTGTGTTGATTCTTCTCTTCTATCTTTGTTTTGTACAATGGTATTCTCCGTTTTTGTCATTTTGGTTTTGCACCCATACCAACTTTCTTGTTTTTGACCTGAACGTAAATCTTTCTTGGACCTTGTCATCGCACGTGTTTTTCAAGCCAACACGTGGTTTACCTACCTTGTAAACATGTTATCTTGAACGCTTTGGCTTTTCGAGTATTGCGCGTAACTCAACGTGGTCCAACAGATTGCTGGAAACAATCTATATGCAGTCAGTGCCACTCGCCTACCAGGATGGGGACCACGTGATCCCCACTGCGCTGCACGATACGGCTACCAATTGATTTCGATGGCGTTCTTGTCATCAACCAACTGAATTTGGGTTAAAACACATTTTGTTGATTAAACAGCCACATTGGCAAACAGTGAAAATTTGTTCAGAAAAAAACAATCGACTTCTCACATAGCAGGAGGAGGTTACAAGTGATTACGAAAGGTCTAGTTACTATCGGCGAAACTCGCCTTCCAGGATAAGGTCCGTGTGGCTCGATCAGAGACGCTGAAGTATGTGGCCGCTACTCAGCTTCAGTGGCGTCCCTGTCGTCAGTTTCTATCCGGATTGCCTGAGTACGGAATGAATGTGATGGGCTACCACTAAGTCCCTTCAATATCCACTTTAATCCTACTCCTCACAAAAAGGCTTTCAAATAAATCATGATTGTACGACAGCGAAGCATCAGTGTTGAACGTCGATGTCATTCTATCGGTGATGACAATGAACAATCCTGGTGGACAGCGGGAAGACTAGTACAACTATCCCGAGTTCAGGGGCTCAGTGCTGACTCGAAGTAACTGTGCCCATCAATTCAGACCTCTGAATTTCTCCGAAACCATATTCTGAACAGAGAAAACTTTTGAATGAAGTTTCAGGATTTGACGGCGATTTTTCGAAACGTTAAAATCGACCTAGACGGTCATAGATTTATTAAAAGTTGTACATACCTACTCACGGCCTCCTTCGTAAGCGGAATTCAGGTTTTAATGGCTGGCATGGCCCAGCGTTAGCTGTCTGTAAAGGCGATGGGAGATTTTGTGGTATGTAGATAATAATTACGTCGCTTTTATCCGCGTCAACTCAAAAATGAGAGAAGCGATTAGCGACTTTTGTATGAAAACGTATTATATCGTTGCAGGAGTCGTCCCGCCAGACACAGCCAAGGACGCGGAGTTCGCCACAGCTAATAAGTCTGATGAGTTTTTATGACCGATGGCTGCACTGGGTGCCGCACAAGGTTCTGTATTTGCTGGTGTAATGGCTCCTTGATGGTGGCTCCCTGGCGCCTGACACCCCCCCACCTTAACCAACGGCCGACATGGGACGAATTAAGGGAGTGCAGTGCTCTGTTGAAGTACACGACAATGTCATCGGCGGCGGCAGGTGAATTTGGGAAGGTGCTGATCACCCAAGATATCATCTACCATGGGTTCTTTGGTAAACAGGTAGTTATATACGAGTCGGCGGTGTTCGGCGACCTTGAAAATTCATTCACTTAAACAAACGTCTATGGGTAACATATAACTGAAACGTCTTTCTGGACTAGACTAATTCGCTGTAAAATTCTCAACTCCGAAAACCATGCAGATGAAATCAATTTCGGTTTGCTTAACCTGAACTTGATACAGGAAATCAGGGATGTGTGACAAACAGTGGAACGCTAGCGGATGGCATCTCAGAGAATTTCTGGGTCACCAACCGGTTAACTTACTAACCCAACGATTTACTAGGCTGTACCATACTTGTTATCGGTCAGCGCGCTACCGCACTTCCACGAAACATCAAAATGGCATGTGACATGAAAAGATTCAAAAAGGGACTCGCCTATGGTTAATGAACTGGCAGAAATGGCTCAATCGCGCACTCAGTGGCGTTCAAAGCCATCGCCTTCAATGAGTAGCTACCCAATTCCCGAACGAAATGAACAAGCCCTCACCTCTATTGCTTGGCCGCATATCCCGCACTCACTCAGTTCCGAGTGATCGGAACTGTGGCAGCTAAAACCAATGTGCCTATGGGGCACGTTTTATAACCGACAAATTGATTGATGTTTGATTAATTAATTATTCGACTGATTGATTGATTGATTGATTGATTAATTGATTGATTGATTGATTGATTGATTGACGGAGACCCATACCTTCTGAAGTACCTCAAAAGAGCTTCCATGACAGCAACATTAAAAAGAACTATGTTTGAATGTTTTTACATAGAAAATTGGATGGGCACGGTTCGCCAAAGTAAGATTAATAAACCAACATGCATCCGGCGCAGCTAACTCGTACAGATACCTAAGATAAAACACAGTCTTGCAGATCTTCATCAGACTTTTTTGGATGGCCGGGAGTTTGTATACGAAGCGCAGTTGACCTTGGCGCTGTCGGTACACTTGGCTTTGATGTTTCAGAAGCAGGGGACTTGTTCAAAGGAGGATTCTGAAGAGAAAAAGTGGAAGCCCAGGTGAAATATGCGAGACGCTTAAGCGGATGATGTCTATAAATGTGTCAGCAAAGATGGAGACATTATTCGGTTTCAGTGGTCAGTAACAGTCGGTTCGGATCAAGTTCATGACAAAATCAAATAATTCGCCAGAGTGCTCATGATCTTTTCCTAAAGGGACGCCTATATGGAGGGTGAAAATGAGTAAGTGCTAGGTTCCCAGTATATAGTACGGCGTACCATTACCCTGGGAAGCACTGCATAACTGTCACTCACGCATAACAGAGAATCCTCGAATGGGACCAAACCGGTTTTTTGAAATTGGGAAGTTCTAGGGAGAGTGGTTCGCAAAGAACGCGAATGTACTTGTTAGGCAGGATTCCACACGGATCCCGCTATACCTCACGTCTTCAGGCGCTGCTACGGCCGATGAGCCTAGGTCGCACGAGATTGGCCAAGAATTCGGGACGCTTGCCGGTCCGGGATCAAGACGAGACCTTGTGCACCTTTGGTGGTTGTTTTGACGTGAACGCTAGCTTGGGAGGCTCAGACCGAGAACTAGGATGAGGAAAATACCGTTACTACAGTACTTTCCAAAAAGCCGACATATATTGCCAGTAGAGTTTCACTTGTCGGTAGTCACTGAACAACAAGTCAGGCACGATCACTGTTATA